GTTATTATATTACTTTATAAGTTATATGTATATAACTTATATACTATAAGTATTTTGTAATAATTTAATATTATATATTAAATATATTTAATGCCAAATGAAATATCTAAGTCTAGAAAGGGAACAAGCCCAAAATACAGAAATTAGAGCAAAGTTCAATAAATTTTTGGAAAATGAAAAGAAATGAAATAAAATGTTTTAAGATAGCAGTCCATTAACTATTTCCCTGCCAGCGTTTTTGAAAAAAGTTGCCAGCCACCGCCAGCATTTTTGATCATTTTCTCAAAAATGTCATGGCCTCCAGAATATTTTGTTGTATGAATATCTGAACATGCAATACATCAAAATAAAGAACAGAGCCTCTACTTAAAAATAAATAAATAAACGTTTTATTCTAGCTTCAAGAATTCTTTTTTTTAATCAACACATGAATGTAGTTAAGTTTCATTAAAAAAAGCAACATTTTGATGAAAAAGCTGAGAAAATCGCATTTTTATCAAAGACCACATCTGGATCATATTCAGTTCTATGATCAAAGCATAGATGCAGTAGATCGCTTCCATCAACACCCCAAAGCTTCACAGTCCTTTACCACTTCTGGGATCAACATTTCACTCGGTAACATTAGGCAGTTTTCATTTATATGCTGTTTGTTTTTGATGATCGTATTATTTTTCGCATGAGATCGCTTGTTTCTGCGTCTTCCTCGCCTGTGTTTTTGATCGGGAGATTGTGGACTCATTCAGGAGATGCGTAATAGCACCCCCGAGCGTATAGCAGTGAAAACACGAAAAATTCTGTGTTTGGCGGGGAAAGGGTTAATATTTAAAAATCTAATTCTCAAATATTGACCAGTTTGGAAATGATCCCTAATAAATCTATGCTTTCATCAGAATGTAAAAATTTCCATCACAAAACAAATATAATTTAGATAATTTAGAAAGATTAAAGTGTGATCATAATGACAGTGTGTGTGAGTATGTATGTATATGTATGTGTGTGTGTGTTTTTATAACAAATATTTATGTAACTATATAGAGTATTTTATAATAATTTAATATTATACGTTGTAAATATAATTTAATATTATACGTTGTGTATATATTAATTTGTAAATATCTAAAGAAAAATTCTAGGAAGAGAATTTCCAAAATAGAGAAATTAGGGCAAATTTCATCTTTCAACACTTAAAGAGTTAGAAAAAATTAAAAGAAATGAAATTAAAATTTTAAGCAACTATAATCATTCCTTTAAAACTTATATTTAGTTATTTATTTATTCATTCAGCCATTTATTATTAAGATATTCTACTATTTTCTTTAAAACTATAATTTATTTAAATAAAAAAAATAAAATATCCTCTAATTAAAGACTTCCAAATGTATTTATGTGTGTCCAAGTAAAGGTCCTTTAAAAAACTAAAAAGTATACCAAAGTGCTGAAGTATGTAATTTTTGCCCCACAAAAATCATTGCCATCATGTTTTTTCCTTTAGTTTGTTAAAAGTGTCTAATCATGGCTGCATGTCTCTGACTAGTGCTGGAAGATGGTTTTGATGTTTGTTTGTTTTTAATGTTGCTTTATTTGTCTGTTTGTGCGCCAGGGGCTCGCATCGAAGAGTTCCTGTTTGAAAAGCTTGACCGGAAGGTTCCACCGCGGCCCACTAATGGAGAGATCTTAGGCCAGTTCATGCTGGAGGCAGCGAAGGAGTTTGGACCGGGAACCCCATACGGTAAGACTCAGAAATCTGTCTGATAATATTCATTAGGGGTGATAATATCGTAATTGCTGTTTTAACGATGTGCGAGCAGACATTATCGAGTATGTCACTCACTTCACAAAAAAAACAAAACAAAACTTGAGGTCAAAAGCGTTCACTGCATGATAAAGCCTATTATAATATAGTTTAAATGCCCCTATAGTATCTGTATGGGTTTTTGTTCTATATATTTATAAGATATTATATAGTTAAGTAATGTCACACAAGCAACAGGGCCGTTTTCCTAAATATTAGGTTAAATATAATTTATCCATGACAGGCCTAAACCATCCAAGGTACCAGCATAAAAACACACTCAGCAAAATATCAATTAATTATCGTTATCGAAAAAAATCCCCCAAAATATTGAGATCTCACACCCCTATTCACCATTCATTCATTTATTTACAGTATTTGTATTTTTTTTTGTGGTGTCAGAATTTGCATTCATACATTAATTTTTTTATTCAGTACTTTTGCATCTTTTTAAACCTCAGCATTGGATTGTCTGTGTGCAATTTTGGCAGAAAAAGTCTGCCAAGAGTAAACGCTTGATTTATTTTCTCTGTAAGCTGAACTCCGCCGGGTCGAGGACAAATCCATTGATTTGGTTTTCAAATGATGTCCTTAATCTAATTCAATCCACTGCAGTAACATTAAGAGCCACAGTCTGTTTGTTATCCTAAAGCTTCTTTTGTAGATATAATATGAAAAGGTTAGCAAGTGTTTCGCTCTTTAAATGGTGGAATAATTCAACGGCACCGACTGCGATGTTGGAAGTTTTTCAGTGTGATTGGATTGATTTTGCAGTCTCTGATGGTTTTTCCCTGCAGGCTGTGTGGAAGCAGCCAAACCAATAAATCTCATTGCATTTTCCTTTCTGTTCCCCATCGGAGTGATGTCAGAGGTCACAGCAGTCTGTGATGTCATTTCCTGGCCAGCATTCTTCCACAGAGATTTTCCCCTTTATAACCTTCAGTAGAAGTACCAGAGGTGTCCAGTTGATATTTTTGTTGTTGTTGTTTTTCTTGACTCTTACATGATAATTAAATTGACCTAACTGTGCTCCACTCTTTTATCAATATTAATAAGCCTAATACTCAGAAACTATAATATTAAAGCTCTACTTTCATGGTTTTATACCAGACAGTGGATGCATTTTATGCTTTCTGAGCTGTTAGAAAGTCATTCTAGAAAACACATTCATCAAAGCAGTGGTTTGTAATGAGCCGTTTGCAATTAAAACAAGACCTGTGACCCGTTTTTTGAGTTTCAGGTCTGTTTTGTTCGGGTTGCACACAGCTGGGAAGAAAAAAACATTGCTAAATGCAAATAAAACTGAATTAAAGTTGATTATTAAAATTTAAGAATGAAATGAACCATACATTTGTGCAGAAAAGAAATATACTTATTGATGTTATGGGAGAACACTTCTCGTATCATCTGTTATTAATGTCAAAGCCTCAAAGGTCCGTAATTTGGTCCTAAATTCATCTGTCGCTATGAACAAAACCACAGTAAACGCATGTAAAAGAAAATATGACCCTTTATAGAAAGTATATTATTTATCTCCAACCAGTGTTATTTTAGTATCATTATGATACTATTTGTTTTTTTTAATTAATTTTGAATTCATTTTCATTTTTATATTTTCTGTTTTTATTTTAATTTTAAAGTTTTAATAATTTTGTTGTGTTTTTGTCTATTTTTTAAATATGTACATATAGTTTTTTTTATTAACTTTTATTATTAAAACTATAATTATTTTAGTGCATCAAGTTAAACTAAATGAAAATGAGGAATGATGCTTTGGCAACTACCTGGAATAAATTAAGTTTAAGGTTTCTTACGTTTTATTTTATTTCAATTAAAGTGTATTTTATTTCAAGTGACGTAAATGTTTTTTTAAATGGTTTTAGTTAACTATAATAACCTGCTTCCAACTTTATCTGCATACAGTATATTCACATAGGGTGATATACTGCTTGTAAAATGTAACTATATTATCGCCCAGCTCTAATCTGCTAAATGCAACTATAAGGCATGAAGATATTATGATATTATAAACATTTTCAGCATGATTTTTTGTAAAGCTGCTTTGAAACAATGTGTATTTTGAAAAGCGCTATACAAATACATTTGACTCGACTACGTTACATTCGGGTTGGTATGGATAATATTAGTAAACAGCCAATAATAAATGAATAAAATATGAATTCCAGTGCTGAATTTGATTCCCTATGATAAATGCTTTTATTGCTGTGTTTGGTTGCCACAGATAGCACAGATAGTAGATGCATTGAGTGGAGAGAGAACTGTGTGCTTCTTGTTTGTCTGTTCTCAAACTAAAGTGCACTTAATGGTTTTAAATGGCTTATTAACGTCCCGTGGCTGACCACATGCTTTTAGGATGGGCTGTAGTGTCAGTCAGTGGAAGTACACAGTTTATCTCTGTAAGTACTGGACCAGTGCAGCCTGTCTAAAGTATAGAAATTTGAGAGTGTCTCATTTGGTGTGTCTTTTTTTCCCTTTAATGGAGCTCCATGAACAAAACTTGATGATCATGTTCTCCAGCATGATTTTAAATGATCCAAAGAGCTACATGAACATCTGAACGTCTGAGTGACATGATGATCAATGACACTTGCATGATTTACATTTGATTAGTTAGTAGATCAGAAAGTCTTCTGTATTTTGCATCATAACTTTCTTGTTTCACTTTTCCCAAAATCCTTAAACTGTATTTACAGGTTTAAATGAGATTTCCGTGTGGTTTCAGACATTTGGACCACCTTTTTCCTGTTCTACCATAGATAAATAAATAAAGGAAGTCAAGTCAAGTCAAGTCACGTTACCTTTATTTATATAGCGCTTTTAACAATGCAGATTGTGTCAAAGCAACTGAACAGCATTAATTAGGAAAATAGTGTGTCAATAATGCAAAATGACAATAGTAAACACTAATTTTTCAGTTAAAGACAGTTCATCATTGAATTCAGTGATGTCAACATCCAGCTCAGTTTAAATAGTATCTTTGCAATCATTTGCAATCAAGTCAACGATATCTCTGGAAATGAAGTGTCCCCAACTAAGCAAGCCAGAGGCGACAGCGGCAAGGAACCAAACTCCATCGGTGACAGAATGGAGAAAAAACCTTGGGAGAAACCAGGCTCAGTCGGGGGGCCAGTTCTCCTCTGACCAGACGAACCAGCAGTACGGAAAAATCAATTTAAGACGTAATAAAACAGACGATGAACACTATTAACAGCAATTATTATATGATGCAATCAAACTTATAGCAAAATGTGGTAGTTCTGTATGTTGTTTCAGGGTTGGCATCATCTGAGGTCCTCTGAGGGGTTGGCATCATCTCTTCTCAGGTGTTCTGGATCCAGACTGAAGCTTGTGTAAATCCTAGTTACCACGGGATGTCAATCCCGTGGCAAAAACAGAGAAACAAATAGAGACATAATTAGCGTAGCTGCTGTTCCAACCAAGCAAAATTGATTTGTTTAACCCAAACTAAAGAATATTCTTGACCTGGTAAGGACTCTAGCCGCTGCATTTTGGACTACCTGTAGCTTGTTTATTGAAGATGCAGGACAAAGTATGGTGATTTTTGAAGTCGAGCCTAACAGAAAAGAGCTTGAGGCAACTCAACGGAGCGCTTGCTTGGGCGGTTAGAGCGACTGAGTGGAGCGCACGTCCATAGAGCGGAAAACGTAGCGGAGCGTCACACCGCTCCGCTTCGCTCACATGCTCTGCAACTCAGTGAAGTTTTACAGTTAAAATTACAGTCTGTTGTGTAAAGAGAGGCATTAATTATTGATTCGGTGGGCGGAACAGCTGCTATAACATGTTTGTGAATGTCCCTCTCTCAACCGGCTGTGACACAATTTGCTTGCATCCTTATTTTACATCCACATCAAATCTCTCCATTGATTGCAATACACTAAATGCACTGCACTCAGACAGATGTGACAATTACACTGCTCTGCATTATATTTGCTGAATGAAATCCAATACTTTTTGTGGTGCTGATTTCAAAAATAGTGCCTGTTTTGCTTGAGCACATCATACTTTCTCATGAAATATGATGTATTTTGTAGCGTTTTTGCTTTCGTCAACCGTTTGTAAGGTGAAGATGTCTTAAATTATCCCTTAATCAGAATAAAAGCTGAACACAGGCATGATTAATGTATTTCTTTGTTCAATTGTCAGCCCATTTTCACATCTATGATTCTGAAGACATTATTTTATGACTAAATCATGATTTCCGCGTTTTCTGCTCAGTTGCACATTGTATGTTAAATTATACATTTTAGTGGTCGACCGATATCGTTTTTTTTTGACAACCGATGCCGATATCTTGGAAAGCAGGGTGGCCGATATAAAGCCGATATAATTGTATTTATTTTAATTAATATTTAAGACATTTGAAATCATTTGAAAATGGATTAAAAATAAATTTGTAAAATAAACATACTTTGTCACCTAAAGCAGAAGTATTTTTCACAAGTAAATAAATATTTAATAAAAATATAATTAAAAAGGAAGTAAACTGTAACCAACAGGGCAGTCAGCATTCTGGGAAGTTTGTGTGCATTGGGAATCATATTTTTTGAAATAAAGCCAAGGTAACACTCATTTTACATACAGCACACAGTGAAAATGATATGAATATGACAGTGGGCAAATGCATAAAGCGCAGCATAATTTGAAATCACGAATTTAATGTTTAAAGCATTCAATTTGCACGGACCAAAAGTCACGCAGAGAACATATGGGATAATTTTCCCGCTAAATGTATTGCAGTCGCGGATAAAAAAAACACTTAAGTGTGAAACCAAAATTTAAAAACGCAAGTAAAATTATATTGCACAAAATTTAAAAATGAAAGCAAAGTTTTCAGAATAGCAAACAATGGTCACGGATCAAAAAATAATAAGTGTAAATTAAAAATTTGGTGTTCTGTTGAAATGGACAACTGTCGGCTGGGAAACATCTTTCCATACAGGACACCGTTATATGTGTCGGTCTGTCACTGCTGTACGCCTACTTGGCGATCCGTTAACATTAAATGAGTAAATCGGTAAATTAATTTTGAATTAATGTAATGTTTTTGCATTGAAAACGATAGTGCTACAGAGTAGACAGTTACAGAGGCCAGGTGGATTCGATATACACAATGATTTATTTGCGTGTTGTGTTTATTTGCATAGCTACATATATAATTGCCTAACACTATCATATTAATGTTTCAAATACATAAAGTTATACATAACAACAATATGAAAGTAAAACAGCCAGTAGGTGGCGGTAAGTTACTGTCTTTAGAATAAGACATTAAATCATTCATTCAAATGGCTGATTCATTCAGTGAGGAATAAAGAGAATCATTCAATACGAAAGGCTGCTGTGTTGCTTGTAGAGGACACTGTTCTGCTGTGGCTTTGTTTAGACTCTTTGTCGAAATAGAGCAAAATGAGAAAATAGTTAACTCAGTCAAAATATACTTCTTGTTAAATTGATTCAGTTCAATAAACATTTGCAATAGTCCTGATATTAGGAAAAAACTCGTGTTTTGCTTAACTGTATGTCATAAAATAAATTATAGTGCCATTCTTTACAAACAACATTTATTTTAAATGCTAAGCCTATAACTTATTTAAAATGAAACTAAAAGCTGAACCTCCTGCTGGACTCACATACCTCTCATTTCCATGAGTGAATCGTTAGACATGGTGTAACATTTGGTTGATAAACTATTAGCCTATTTATTTTGTAAAGAAGGCTTTGTACTTCTCTTGTATCTGAATATCTACTTAAACAACATGCTTCACATATGCATAAAATGTGTTTGGAAAACACCAAGGCATGGTGATGCTTGCACTGACCGGCAAAACCTACATATTGTACAAAAGACAAGCTAAATTGATTCACCAATACCTTTTGTATGTTTAGTTATCTCATTTACTTTGATGATGAAGAGGCTGCGATGTAAAAATTGCAATGCTAGAACTGATTATGTTGTGTGCGAGCA